AAATGTCCTATTCATTGAGAACCCTTGTGCCCAAATCTGCAATTTTGATATATAACCCTTTTTTTCTTTTCAGTATTCTGGGATGGAAATTTTTTTTTAAGCAGCCTCATTTCATTTTAGTAATGGATGTGGTAATTTGCAGTGCTTTGTCCTTGTTCCCATGAGGTATTCTGTCTCTGTCCTCATACACATCATAATTCTTACAGGAAAAAATGATGCAAAAAGCTAATTTAATATTTGGTTTGTCCTCCTAATTTCTACTCCTTGTCAACATCAGTTCTTCATTTCTTGCTCCTAATTTCTTGTTGAGAAACCATTTGTTTGTCTGTGAGTTCCCATTTTCCTGGCCTCCTGGCAGTTTGCATTTAACCTCTGCAGCCTGACCTCTGAAGTGCCAGCTCTCTTTGCTGATCAGTCCCTTTTTCCATTCCTTGTAGGTTCTCTACTTTCCCTTAATATCCTGCTTTGAGGTGCACTCTCATGCAGGTAGGTCTGTAGCCCTTTCCTGTCCCCCTTTTTAACTTTACTGGGATATAAGGACTCAGATTTAAAGTAAACCTTTCCCTCCCATACACTCAAATCCAACTGTGTATGTGTTTCATATATCTTTGGATGAAATTTTGGTTTATGGCCCATCAGGGAGAGGTGGGATTACTCTTGAAATGTAAAGAAAAACTTGGTTATTTTTGGGTCATGCAGCTGGTGAGGTCTGTACCCCCAGAAAAGATTAAGGAAGTTTGAATTGCCTTTGGCAATTACTCTATGTTGTATAGGCTGCTTATTTCCAGATGGTTTTTTTTTTTGTTTCCTTCACGTAAAACCATGGGAATTAATTTGAAAAACTGGCATTTAAACCATCTGAATCAGAAATAGATTTTTTTTTCTTGATGTTAGTTATGTTTATATAAACACAGTCCATTTTGTTAGAAGGTCAATAATTTTGGACATTCCCTGAAATCCTTTCCTGGTTTCACTTTTTTAAAGAAAAATATTAAAGGTATGTTGATGTTTCTTTATTCATTGTGTTGGGGGCCAGATCTATTTGGCACCTTTTGTTGAAAACCCTGAAACACAAGAGGACAGTTCACTTTTCCATTTTTCCAAGTAGTTGGGAGAGCTCATACAACAGATGCAAGGGCTGCTTTTTAGAGCCGAGTGATCCCTTCTGACTCTGCATATTCTCAAGGGAGAAAAGGATAAAATGAATTCCCCAGTTTTGGAGCATGGCCTGTGTGGGCCCTGTGTGAGTCTCTGTGGGTCTGTGGAGGCTGGAGGAGGGCGCTGGGTGCGGAGCCTGCGCTGAATTTCCGTGCTGTCAGGGGGTGTTGGGTTCCCAGTCTGTCAGCCCCTCCTGTGTGCACATTGGGACCAGATGGGATTGCCCAGCTCCATGTGCTGGCAGCACTCCCTGCAGATGGACACGGATGAAACGCCTGAGTCCACGAAGCAGCACGGGAACGTCACGTTTGGGCTCTGTCTGTCTGCACAAATCTGTGTCCTCCTGAGCTGGGGGGTGGCAGAGCTACCGAGGAGTTGGGGTTTTTTCTGGCTTCTGGTATCAGAATGGGGCTCAGTGCTCTGCTGTGTTGATTTTGATAGTGTGAACCCTAGAGCTAATATAAATTTTAAATTACACTTTTATGAATTTCATTTAAATGTAATTGGAACTCCTCAGTGTGGTCTAATGGTGATGTATAATGCTTGTCTCTTTCTTACCCTTGGGGGTGCTGGGGGAATCTCTGAAAGTCCCTTTGTCAGCTCTTTTTGTTTGGGAATAGCCATTTTCTTTTCTGGATCTGCTGTAAATTTCCAAAGTTCACCTCTGGTATATCCTAGTGCTTGATGAGCTGACAGCAAGAGAGAGATTTGCAAGTCTTTCACTGTGTTTGTTAGCCAAGGCTTCCTGCAGTATTTATGCACAAGACTTTAAAAGCAATGATAATAGTATTTAGTAACTAAAAGCTTGAAAAGCTTATTAATGGACTGTTTATATTTGTGTTATTCCTCTTAATTGTTTCCCTTCACTTTAATGAGATGAAAACCAATTTAGTATCATTAGTAAGTGTCTGAGCATGTTCTTCAAACTGAGCTTTGAGCACTATGGTGGGGAGTCTGGGGGTTATATCTTTAAAATGAGGGTTATATCCTTAATAGGATGGCAGTTTGTTGTTTGGCTTAGTCTTAAACTTCACTGTGGGTCAGTGGGTGTTTGTGCAACATGTGGCACTAGATGTTGAAAGTGGATGTTTACATCTGGTATGCATTGGGAGATTAAGGTAGAGAGGATGAAGTTTTGGGTATGTGTTTTTTGGATGAAGGATAAAGTGAGAATACTTTTATTTCCTCTTAGATTTGAAACATATCATTCTAGCAATGCCTTTGAAACTCTGCCAGCTTTGCCAACCGTAACATTTATGGGATTTTGGACCTAAACTGAACTAGAGAACTGTTTTTAGTGGCAGAGAAAAAGGTTAGTGCATGAAAATAGCTGGGCCTATTATTGACTGCATGTGGTCAGTGGTTTGGCTGAATGTAGGTGGCTCTTTTCCTGTCACTGTTTTCAAGCATATGGCTTTGTGATGAATATAAAACTCTTTCGAAATGAGATCTGCTGCAGTTCTTTTTGCACAGTAGTCCTGTGCTATTTAGTAGTGATTATTTTGCTTTTGTCATTTATTTTCAATCCTGTAGTAAAAAAAAAAAAATCTTTTCAAGTAAAGCTTATTCCTGTTGACATCAAAGCTAAGAGGTTTGAAGAATGTGATCATCTGTGTATAGCAGCTGCTTCTGTCAGTAATATTTCTAAAAGGATGCATAAACTGTGTTCTTGAGTCTTTATTGTAGTTGATGCTGGGATTGTTTGCAGTGGGCAGAAACTCCCTCTAAATGTGCACGTGCATTGTGTTTAATGATTACTTGTGTGAAAATCTCTAATACTGAATTACAACTTCCCTTTCTTTGCTTTTCATGTTTCCAGTCTTGAAAGTAACATTTATAGCAGTTTCTCCCAAGGTGAACTTCTTTTTCCCATTGTGTAGAAGACAGCTTGGGTTAACCCAGTGTTTTGTTTCCTTCTTTGTGTGTAGTATACAAGGTGCAACCTCAGAGCTCAGGGAACAGTGAAATTTGCAGCTCCTGCTGCAGAGAGCTTAAGGGCACAACAGGTTCTGTTTAACTTTAACTTAAACAGTGTTACCCTATTTATATCTTTGTAAAAGATCTGGGTGATAGAGCTGTAAATTGTACAGATTGTGGATTGTGTAGATTGTCTGGTGTTTTCAGTGTAGAAGATTCTAGTGAATCTTGTTTTAGCAGCTCTCAGATGCAAGAGCTGGTTTCATTCAGCTGAGAGCAAAGTACATTTGGGCCTGCAAGATGCTGGGAAGTGCAGCAAGTTTCAGGGGTACAGAGCACTCCATGAGTTGGTTCCATTGCTGTGAAGTACTTTTAAAACAAAGCAAAACTGTTCTGTAGGTTTGGGGGAAATGTTATGGTTTCCTCCTGTATGAGGGAAATAATATATAGAATTATCCAGTTTTTAGAGTAACTGTAAAAGAATAACTACATAAACAATGAGGCAACTTGCAGGGCTGCTTAACATATTTTGAATGTATTTGTCAGTCAATCCTGCATCCTGTTTCACAGGCCAGACACAAGGAAAAACACTTTTACACAAGTGAGGCTGCTTGTGTGATCATGGCTTACACATTTTTAAGAATTTAGTTTGTTACTTATCTGAAAAAGTTATACAGTAGTATTTGAAACACAAAATCAACTTTTAAATTATTGAAATAAAAAAAACAACAAATAAAACTTCTAGATGCTGCAATTATTGCAATGGTAGTTTAGAACTTAGTGAAATATCTTCCTACAATCATAACAATATCACTCACAGTTTATTAACAAATTTCTTTTCTAATTTAAACTAGCCCTTCTGAACTGTATCATGAAGACAGAGCTGTTTTTCCCAAGCGTGCTGGGTGAATGACTGTCACTAAGCAAGAAGTGCTATGCATGTGTTTGTAACTCTTCTTGTGAGAGAATCTTAAGTAATCCCTCATTGCATCCTCAATAATTAAAAACAAAAATCATTTTAATTTTCCTGAGTCTGGGGTTGTGCAAAACACTCTCAATATCAGCAGGCTTTGTAATGTGTTTTTGTTTGCATTTTGGTTTGTTGGTTTTTTTTTTTTCCTTGTTCTGATTTAGCACTAGAAAAATGCTTGATATTTTGACAGTGGTAATTGTCCCAGTTCAGGAATGCTGTGTGAAAGATCTCATACTTGAAATACTGATAAAGGTTCCTAACTGGTACTGATAATCTCCATCACCTTCATATTCCATATCTTTTTTGATACATGAAGATGATGGATGATGCCTCAGGTTTTAGCTTTTATATTTTTCACATTCTGTGCTGCTTTAGTGTGTGGGTCTGAGCTCCACAATAGGGGATGGTGAGCTCTGCACAGAGCAGGGAGACAAAACAATTCCTGCTCCAGCTGGGCACCAAGGACAAATGATCCAAATCTCAGGCCCAAGAGCACAAACAACGTGGGCTGGAGAGAGAAAAACAAGCAGGATGGGACTGCAAGGGCTGAAGCTTTAATTGGAAAATTAACTCCAATGTGCTAATGCACTAAAACTCATAAAAATGTGAGACCTCGTGAGTGGTCGTGCACTTTGTGACCATTTTGGTTCATCTTGGGTGCAGCCCTGGCTGGGCTCTTGTGCTGCCCAAGGTGGATCCATGGAGGAGATCCTTTTAATAAATCCCTACTTTATTTTTTAACTCCATCTAGCCTCTCTTCTAGGTCAGCCTTCACAAGGCATCAATCAGTTCTCAATGTGGATTGATAGAACAGTATCTACAAAAAAGTACCCACAGAAAACTGCTGATGAACTTTGATTTTAATTTAATAAGGAGTTTTTGTGGTGATTTTTGTGAAAGTAGTTGTAATCCCCCTTGCCTGCAGTTACAATTCCCCTTGCCTGTCGTGCAGAGGTTGGAGACCTGCGGGAGCTGCAGACTCTGGACATCTCCACCAACCGCCTGATGACGTTACCCGAGAGGCTGCACATGTGCCTTTCCCTGCAGTACCTGACTGCAGACAGGAACCACCTGTGGTCTGTGCCCCGCCACCTGTGCCAGCTGCCCAGCCTCAACGAGCTCTCCATGGCTGGCAACCGCCTGGCATTCCTGCCCCTCGGTGAGTCCCCTCCTGGGGGTGGGAGACGCCCCCAGAAATTAAAAACAAAACAAGTGAGTTTCTTTGGTGGTCCCCGCAGACTCTGTTTATGGAGCTGTCACAGGGATCATATTGTTGGAAAATATGTTAATAAAAAAAATGCAGGTTAAGGTTTCGTGGGTTTTTTTAAAGCTATCAAATTTGCTTTATTTTTAGCTAACTGAGGGAAAAAAAGTTTAAATTATGTGCTTAAATATAGTACTGTGTAATCTGAGTTCCACCACTTTGGGTAATGATCTGTTTCTGTTTGCTGGATATGATGATTTAACTAAGATTCCTCAACTAGGGTTTAAAACTTGTTGTGGAGTCCCAGTAACTCCATATAAATTACTTTTCAGCATTAGGAGTGTCAGTACCACATAATCCAGTGCAGCTTTACTTTGTGCTGTGTACAGGCATCCATCAAAATTTCCACAGTAGTAGCCCAGGGAGGAATTGATGTGCCTTTTGCTCAGCCCTTTTGAAAGTTTGGAAGAGTGGAAGCAGGTCAGGAGTGGGAGGTGCAGTCAGTGTGTGGGGTTTGGGGGCAGTCACTGTGTGTTCCCTTTGGGGAAAGCAAATCCTCTTCTCTGAACTTGTCACTCTTCAGCCCTGCCACGGGGTAATCTCAGCTGAGATACAGACACACATGCAGAGCTGCCCTGCCATCTGAATAACCATTAATACTTTTTCTAGAATAGAGAGTTTGGTGTTAATTAGGTGCAGATTAAGTTATGATAATCACATTGGAAAGAAGCTGGAAATTGAGATGGCTAAAAATGAGATCATAATTTCTAAATTAATTACGTTGTATAGGTTTAACTTAATCTTTTCAGTACTAGCAGTTCAGTTTTTAAAGAACTTACTGATCTTTCTGAATTTTTTATCACCTTAGCTCTTATTACTGGAAAGTAAGTGCAAATAATGTCTCCAGACAAAGTGTTGCAGTTATGTCCCAGCATATGTCATTATATAAATGAGAAAACCAGTTCCAGGATGCATCATCCAGATTCCACAGTACTAAAACAAGCAAATTGCCTTCCCTTATTTTGGCAAATATTTTTAACTCCCATGAGAGAGGAAGTTAAACAATTTTAATTTTGCAAAAATTCAGTAAGATGAGATGTGAAATTTGAAAGGATAAAAGTTTTTGCTACTTTTGCACTGGTAGCTTACCTGTGAGCGAGCCCTGACCTGGATGAGCCATAGATCTGCCAAAGTTTTAAGTTCAAAAGGAGGAAATAAATCTCTAATATAATGACACACCTTCTTTTTTCTTTATTTTTAGACTCAAATTCAAAACATTCAAAAGGAACTTTTAAAATAACGGGAAACATCAAAGACTGTCAATTGACCTTGTTCAGTAGTTCTTAATAGTGACTCACTGGAGAACATTTGGAGATAATTTGCTATCTGTGGATATGAAACTGAATCATAAATCCTAGAGTTCAGAGGAAAAGCAGCACAGTATAAATGTAAATGTTTAATCCTTCCTCTGAAGAATCAGAAGGCTTCAGAGTGGTCAAGATGTGATGAAATAAAGTAGAAGAGAGAGTGCATTGAAAAGCAAAAAGATTAAATCTATCTTCTGTTGCTTGGGAAAATATTTGTATTGGAGTATTGCTGAAGTTAAGGCATAATTGTAGCATTACTTCTGCTTGCTGCACATGTTGGCTGGTGGGGCTTTTGTGTGTATTCTTACATCCAGCTTCACTTTACCAGTTAATGACTGATAAGGATGCTAAATAATGGTGAAAAATACTGCAGAAATACTTTCAAGTGATAGTCAAGCAAATATTGTCAAAACAATTTTTTTGCAGTTAGGGAGCTGTGTTGAAAAGCAGAGAATTTATTCGTCTCCTGACAGAATGGTTGAGTTTTGTTTGTTTTTTTTAGATGTGTCCATGTTAAAATAAATGCAGTTGAAACAAATTGCTTAATGCTTTTTAAAGCATTATTTACTGCATTTGTTTCACGTGGTGGGTGACATCTACTCTGTCAACCAGGAATCCATTCTGCCTTATCCAAGTTTGTCCCTCGTAGCTGCCAGCAGAGCCTCTTGTTGAGTGTAGTGGAAATCTGCATTTTCCTGTTCCTGGATTGATGGGTGCAAGGTTTATTCCAGCAGCAGCACAGCCCTGCTGGACAGGGATCTGGAGGTTCCTTACTCTGTACATTCTTTTAAGTTTGCAGGCACATGTGTCTTGGGAAAAACAGTGTAACACTGTTAATCAGTTTTAAAATACAGCAAAAATACCTGATCCCACTCCCTGACTTTCAGAACAGGACCATAAACAAGCAGATGGGTAAACAACAGTGAATTAGTAATTTGTTTTGCAGAATATACCTAAATCTTGAATATGCCAGTGTTTTGTAAAAATAATTTTTCAGCTGTGAGTACTTCAGTTTATACTGAAAGAAATGAGACACCATGGATCTCAGCCTTTGGGTCTTCCTAATAAACTAATTTTTAAGAACCACTCCAGCAATTCTATGTATAAGTTGAACTGGAAGCTGCATCCTGAACAGTTGTGTTATTGTCATGGTAACTTCATGCTCCCTTACTAAATGGTCTTAGAAATCTGCTGATCATTGTATATCAATCTACTTACAACATAAATTATCTTTTGACAGAAAATTAACTTTAAATTTTTAGCATTACTGAGTGCTCAAGTGCCTGAAAACAAATTCCACTGCAAGCAGAAATGTGAATCTGATGACACTGCAAAAATAAAAATCATTTGTGTAATAAAATACAAATATAATTAAAATACGCCATAAATTCTCAAGTGTACTGGCAGTACAGGAGATGTTATGACAGCAAATATTCAGTATTATATCACTTTATTTGAGGGTTTATGTGCACTTTTTCTTCAGAAAATGAGTCTAGTAATTATCAGTGCACAGTAAACAAAGGTCTTATTCTACCTCAGTATATGCTGCTTTGTGTCCATGCCCTCACAGTATGGTTAAAAGAGCATCAGTGCAGCCACACAAGAGCTTTTGTTCCATCTTCAGCCATGTGGAATGCATATGCCAGGGCCCTGAGGTTAAAAAAAAAAAAGGAAAAAAAAAAGAGGGAGAAAAAGAAAAAAAATAGAATTGGGGTTTGTTCAGGACTCATGGCATTTGGTCATTTCTGGGAGAGAGGTCTTTGATCTGGGAGGCTGGAAGGAGGAAAGTGGAAATGTTTTAGACACAGCACAGTGCTTGCAAAAGCCACATGAAAACCTTCTTTGTAGCTTTAGCCTTTTCAGAGATGGGCAGCTTCCTTATTGCACCGAGTTCTTCAGAAGCAACTTTTAACAATATTTGTTGGCCGATATAAGACATAAAAATTAATGTGGATGGGATACAAAGAGCCTTTCAAAGTGATGATTTATTAAAATTTAAACTTTATGGATAATGTTTGAAACTGGGAAAAAAATCTTTTGGAGTCTAGAAGATGCTTGGTTATTTAATGCAAAGAAACTCTATCAAAGGAACATTTATAGTTACAGGCTATTTGGCTTTGGGAATTGAATTTTTCCTACTGAGATATTTTGTCTAACATCCAAAAATTTGCTTTAATTACCTAGGAAATGCAGTCAACTCAGAACTTAGAATCTAAACATAGCATAAGATAAAGACAGAGGGAAGAGATGAGATGCAGCCTCACTCCCCCCTCTCAGTGCATATGAAAAGAACAGCTTTAGGGCTTTTTTTGACTTGCCTGATTTTCAGCCCATTTGCATACATCTGTGTAGAAACCAGCAAGATGAGCCTCTTTTAAAAATTTTCTGCCATTCTCCAAATTAATAAGTTAAACAGTAGCACATTCAAGCTACCCCAGCAACCCATAGTTTCCTGCTGGTTTTAGTCTTACTGGCTTCTGCAACACAAGGGAACATTCTCTGAATATTACATGTCCCCATCCACCTGCTACCTGCTTTAAATTGTGTTGGCTGATTCCTCACCAGCCTTACAATATTTTATGGTGTTATATTGCCTCTGTGTTGCAGTATTTTTATTCATTGTAGGATAACAATGGGGTTTTGTTTCATCTAAAAATATCCCAGAACTTCACTAAACTATTTTCAGCCCTGCAGTAGTGAACCCAAATAAATCATCTCGTTGAGGTGATGCTCAGCAGCATCTCCAGCAGTGCCCATCAGTCAGCAGAGGGATTTGTGCTCCCATCCTGAGGGAGGACACTTGATGGATGCAGCAGATACTTCTGGGAGCTGGAATGTCTCTGGGACAGGGTCAAAGCAGCATGTGATGGTTGAATGTGTCCCTTGATGTCCAGTGACTCTGCTTTGAACAAAGCCCAGATTATGGTCCCTGAAACCCCCACAGACTGTTGCAAAGCAAGGGTCTGTGTTAAGAAGTGGAAAAAAACCCAAAACTCATTTTTTCTCTGTTAACACTTTTATTTTAGAAAAGGAGTCTCTTCATTTTCTGTTGGTATCATCACTTGTCCTTTATATCAAAGATTTGATATTGTGCCACTCCTCAGTGTGAACTTTTAAGGGTTTCTGGTGCTCACAGCTGCCATTCAAGTGGGTGACAGCTGAAGAGATTCAGTGTATTATCAGATGGACACACATCTGGGGAGGGATCACTCAAAATATCTGCACTAAACTGGTATTAAGAGCTCTTGTGTATAATAAAACTATTCAGTAATAAAGAAGGGTTTGTATTACCTATTGTTGTAGTAGGGAATGAGAAGAGATCAGTATTCCAAATAGAATTTCTGAATAGAAATATTATGGGAATTGTTTTAATTTTTATTTTGTTCTTGGTCATGATTACAAAGGGGACAGAAGCTGTGCCCATTTCTCCAGTTACCCTTTTATTCCTGCCAGCCAAGGTAACTGATAAAGATGGAAGTCAGAATTAGTCAATATTAGTATTGTCTTGCTGTGGCTGATGCAGCCAAATGCTTGTTTATCTTCATCTCTCCAAGGTCCTCATGAAAGTTTAACAAGTTGGGAGGCACACAGATTATTTGTGTTTTTCATGATGCAGTTTGTCTGGGTCACAGCTCTCCCATCTCGGGCAGAGGCTTTCAGACTTTGTTCTCCTGGTTTGTGCTTTGCACTAAACATAGAAACCTTTTCCTACCCCAGTGTCTCAAAGGGCATGGGGGTGACAGATGAGTTGGGCTGCCCACCTGATCCTGCACATCAGATTTCTTACTAGTCCAGAACTCTTTCAGACTTTTCTGTTTAGTTCAGTTTGATATCTTTTGAAATGTCTCTCATTTGGTTTTCACTTCTTTTAATAGCAGACAGTTTTACCACTTACTAGACCTTGCTAATAAGCAAAATTCTCATTTCTGAGAATTCTTCCAAGAAACCTAATTTTTCCCATTTAATTTTAATTTTTTAAGCAAAATAAAATAGATCCATACTGATATGCTTCTATCCAGACATATCTTAATAGATTTCTAGTCCACGAATGCATTACTTAATCATGCTGTACTTGCTTCTTTTGACTACCAGCCATGAATATTTTAAGAGCAGTAATGCAATCAGCATACCTGCAGAAGTATTGATCATTTATTGCAGCCACAACTTTTGATGTCTAACATTCTGCAGTTTAATGCTTTGTCTTTTCTGGGGCTCTGGAATTCACTGCATCTCACAGACTCGTTTCTGAATGACTGCACTTGTATTTGGTTAAGGCTAATGAATCCCAGCAAGGATCTCTTCTTGGAGAAGAGAGGGAGGGGGACAGAGCACATTCTTGTGTCTGTCTTGCCCACTTTCCCAAAGATAGAGAAGCTGTGATTTCACTGACATGAGGCCAGTTAATGAAAGCAGGTTTGACCTTATGAACTTGAAGTATGCACGGAGGATTTGAAATCAATTGTCCCTTTGCTTCTTCAAACTGACTTCAGAGTTTGTCAATGTTAAAATTTAATTATTTATAATGGGATTTTCAGGGCTTCTGAAAGGGGGCTTTGTTTTGTTTTAGTAATTTGAAATGCTTGCTTCTAAACAGCTTTTCAGCTCATCCATAATAAAACCATTGGCTGAAATTTTGCAACTGAGAAGTACTAATTTATGTTTGCTTACATTGAGTCTGATTAGCTTATTTATAATTAAAGAGAATTGTTTTGCTTATAATTGTCACTATGTCATCCTTTCTCCCCTTGACTTTCCTTGTTTTCTAAACCCAGATTTAGGTCGTTCTCGAGAGCTCCAATATGTTTATGTGGACAACAACATTCACCTGAAAGGCCTCCCATCTTATCTGTACAATAAAGTCATTGGTTGCAGTGGGTAGGTATGAATTAATTCACATGTCTTGTGTACCTGTCCTTGTAAAACTTCTCCTGTATGATACAGCTAGTTATTTTTTGTGTGTCTGTGATTGATTCAGAGTTGATGTTACTTGGAGGCGATTACTGCAGCTCCCTGCTCTGTTTTATTTTTGTAATAAATCTTCTGTGTTAATTGCTGACTTTTGACTATTTTAGTATTAAGGCATAACAGTGAAGTTACTCTGAAAGAATTTGTAATAATAATGTAAGGTCTAGAGCTGGCTTTAAAAGTTGGCCAAAAGTGTAGACTTCACAGAGTTTCCAGAACTAAAGAAAGAACAAAATAATTTTCATATATTGCAGCATCTCTTTGTTTCTAAGTGCTCGCATTTCTGTAAGTTGTTGGTCATATCTTGAAAATTTATGTACAGCTCCTTCACTCATTTTACATCCCAGTATCAGCTCCTTGTAGGTCTTGGTACCTTCTAACTAAAGTGACTTTTTTTAGGAGTTATGGATTGACAGGTTTATTTTTACATGTGGATTTTAAAAATATCCTGGGCTGTCTCATGTTTGTGGTTAGAATGCAAGAAAAAAGTGGTCTGTGTAGGACACTGGCTTAATTCTTTCTGCCCTGACACTGGCATAAATTAGGATCAGCACCCCTGATGAATGGAGCCTTACTGGTGTAAAACTGATCAGAAGAGGATTGTCCCCATTACCATCTAATTATAAATTTCTGGTATGCTCACTCTCAGCAGATCTCGCATTAAATATAAATTCCCTCTCTACAGCCTGCACTCTGCTGCAATATGGGAGATGCTGAGTCTTGGCATTTTAAGGTTTTTCTAATATTCCCATGTCAGCTGCTTGGTGATATTTAAATACTTGCAGTTGGATTACAGTTCTGCTGAACTGTGTGACTCGCAAGCTTTTACTAATTTTGTTTTTCAGGAAGGATAAATTCTAGCCTTTTTTCTTTCAGAACTGATTGTAAATTGTTAGACAGACATTAAATTGACCTTAAATTTAACAGAATTGTATCGACTGTGACCAAAAATAGTAATGATAATGCTGGAGATGGTCCAACTGTCCTGCCTGTTTCAGTTGGTTTTATACAACAACCATGTATTTTTTTTCTTTTTTTTTTTTAAGTTTTCATTTTATACTCAGTGAAAAGAATTTTATCTTTGCACTGACCTTTGTGAAGATCCTACCAGTTCTTTTTGCTGTTCTTACATGTACAGTGCTGGTGAGACCACCTGCTACTGTCTCTGATATTATAAATCTAGTACAGAATTATAGAATCTAGTCTTTAAAATCTGGTTTAGAAGAGACTAAAGGAATTGCAAGTGTTGCAATGAAATTGATTCTAGCAATGCCTCTGTGTAATAATTTTCTTCCTTAATAATGAATAGTAAAAAGAGATAATTACTAGTAAGAAAAATGTTTCTATTTGTGCACCAGACAGATTCTTGTCTTTGTTGTGAAACTGTCTTGAAACATTACAGATTATTTTTAAGAAAAAATTTCAGTATTATAAGAGCACATATATATTGTTAAGAAACGAAAGGTCTTATTTGATAATGTGCTGAGAGTCTTTAAAATTGTGTAATAATGGTCATGTGAAGAATTTCTGTGTTCTTTCCAAGAAAGCATTAGTAACCAGGCTAAGGTTTTCATGGGTCAGGCAAGAGTTGAAGATCCAGGCTTTAGTGCTCTGTCTGGCCCTCCACTGGAGAATAAAATCTGACAAGCTGCTGTTACTGACATAAAGCTTGATTTCTGAAAATAGAATATAAATTGCCTTGTGTAAGTATTGAATCTCTGTCTGGGCATCCTGCAGTCAGACTGACTGAAAAAAGTCCTTTATATGAGAGGTGATGATCTCAGCACTCAAAATAAATTTTGATCTTATTTTTTGCAGATTGGATTTCATAGTCCCCAGTTAGGGATTTGTCAGTCTTGTTGAAGGCAGCCAATAGGTGGTCTCAGCTTTTTTTTCCCCTCACTTATTTATCCACCAGGCTTCTTCTGCAGCTCCTATTTTTCCCCAGCTGTTTAGACCATCCTCTATTCCAATTTTTTAACCTCCATGGATTTTGTGTGTGGCATTAATAGCCTCACCCATTACATGAAGCAGACCAAATGTCCCAGCTCTGAACTGCAGAGGCTGTAGTGAGTTCAGGGTTTGTTCCTTAGTGAGGTTGGTAAGGGGTTATTCAGCTTGAAAATACAACATTATAGATTTATTTATTGTGATAACTAACTCATTGGGAATGGATCATTGGAATACTGGATCTCTGAATTCCCACTTATGTTTTAACCTCACTAATGGGAAAGTATTAAATATTTAACAAGAGGCTTATTGACTTGCTTGCTGTTTGATGCTGCTCTTTTTTGGTTGTTTCTCTGGGCTGTTTCTCCTTTAATCAGAGGAGATGGGATTCTTTGTTGTCAGAGAAGTACTATGAGACTTCTTTCACATCTGATAAGGTTGAGAGTGGTTACCTCCGTTTTAGGTCTAATATCTGGGAAGGCTGACAAATTTGTGTTTCTGTTCCATTTGTTAGGACTGGCCCTAACAAGTTGCTCTTGGCTTCAAATTTCAGTTGTCATAAACAATTCCAATTCCCCTGTTGACTTCCCCAACCTCTTAGTAGAATTTTCCTATGCGTGTCTCTCTGGTATGATCGCTTGCAACAGGGATCACGTAAAGAGTTATTATTTTTACTACAAGCTAAGTTTCTCTCTTTGGATCCAAGTAACCTTCCCTTTCCATATATGATTTGGGAAGGGCAAGGCTAATAGACTTATTAGGATATCTTCCCACTACAGCATGGCTGTTGTTTTTATTTTTCCTTCCTCTGCCCACCCCATGCCCTCCAAGGGAACTCTGCGGATGGGGAAAGGTGCAATACAGAATCACCCGGTAGCACTTAAAATACATTTTTTTTGGGGGGCTGAAGTTTGCCTCATGTGTTATGGTTGAGAGATCCATGATTGTTTTCAGCTGGTTGATCCAAGACACGGGAAGCAAACTGTTGGGTAGGAAACTGCTCCCCTCAGTAGAGGATTTACTAAGGAGAGGCTAAAAGAGATTGTCAGGTGGGCAGAGTAATGGGCACGTAGCATACGTGGCTCACCCCCTTGGGGTTGTGTTCTCATTTCTTTATGTTATTTGATGAGTAATTCCTCCAAATGTCCCATGTCTAGCACATCACAGAAGGTGGGAATCTGTAGAAACATAGAATCATAGAATAGTTTGGGAAAGGACCTTTAAAGGTCAACCCCACCATGTACTGCTCTCTACAAGGAATGCTTGAGGGGTGCTGCACTGGAGAACAGTATCAGGCTTACTTTGGGTTGGTCATCTGAGTTTCCCTGTAAAGTTACTTTTATTATTTTTTTTCTAACCACTTTCTAAATGTCTTGTGTCCTTCTAGTTGTGGTTCTCCAATTCAAGTTTCAGAGGTGAAACTGCTCTCTTTTTCATCAGGCCAGTTAACTGTGTTCCTGCCAGCAGAGGTGAAATCTATAGGGACAGAAATAGATCATGTCCTGCCTTTGCAAGAACTGGCCATGAGGACCCTCTATAACACCTACTACAGGTTTTTGAAAGGTATGAAATTTTCTCCTTTCTTCAGATTACAGAAAGAGTGAAAGTGTTTTCTGGCAGTGATAGGAACATTTTTAGCAGTTCTTCAAAGGCTTGGGCAAGGATTTATATTTTAAAAGATTTATTTAATCAAATTATGTTTGAAATGCTACATTAGAACAAAAATGTCCAATATCAAAAACCAGAGTTCCAAAACTATTTCTGAGGTCAAGTGGTGCTTATAAATGGTCTCTTACTTGAAGCCTGTATGAAGAAGGACACTTTTTTTTTGCAGGAGAAACTCTTTAATGGAAATAGGAGATGAGAAATACAGTTCCTGAGGCAAGATCAGATGCATCAGCCAACAATGCAGCTCCTTGCCAGGCAGCACACTCCTAAACTGGCAGACTTGTTATACATAAGGCAGAAGAAATGCGAGCAGCCCTCGGCCATTTCAGCACAGCGTGACAGCTGAGCTGCTTTAGTTCTGCCCCAATTCAGGCTCTCTGCTCTAAAGTGGCCCTTGGCTCATCTGGTTCTGCATCATGCAATCACATGAGTTAGCAATATCTGATGATAACCTGCAGATCCTCTCAGATCTGGATGTGTTGTGACTCCCCACTGTTGATGCTATCTTGGGAATTCTCAGCTTTAAAGGTCAAAGGAGAAAGCGGAAGAGTGGAGAGTTCCAGTGGGAAGATTAGAGGGGTTATGGAAAGGGTCTCTTTGTACCTTGGCCACTGGAGTAAATCCTCACTGCTTTGCCAGGAGAAGTGTACAAGGAGGTCTGCCTTTTCTCACCCACTTGTGACTTGCACAATCATTTCTGGAATCCAGCTGTGTGGATATAGTTCCTGAAGATGCCAGTGAACCTTGGTGTGGGAATGGGAAGGTGATACTGCAAAATCAGTTTAAGGACTGGTTTGTAAATAGTTTTATACAAGGCTGTGAGGATTACACCTATTTTCAGCCAAGATGCAGAACCTGAAAAAGATGGATTTATATATCCATATACACACACCCATAGCTATGTCCTATTCTGAGTGACCTTATTAAAGACTGTGGGCATTAGCACTGCAAGAGCCCAGTTTTGGTGGGCAGGAGCAGTGCCTGTGTCAGACAGGTGTACGATAATGCTGTGCTGGGGAAGCAGGTGGCACATATGATTAAAGTAGCAGATTTCATCTGTCACTGCCTAAATTTGCAGTTTCAAGAGTGCTGTTAAATACTTGGCGGCTGCTGGGGAAGTGACAGAAGTGACTGGACAACTTTTCCTCAGTCTTTGCTAGGCTGCAGTGTGACCTTTTCTTTGTGACACAAATGTCCTGCTCGTCCCCTCCTTGGGGCTCTTGTGGTACATTGTGTCTGGGGTTCAACCTTGCAGTGGTGGAGAGCTGAAACCAGTGTGATGCCATAAAACTGATTTATCAGGTACTGCATCTTGTCTTGATTACTCAGCACCTAAACTCACTCACCTGTCTTGGCTGTCTCTCAGTTTCTAGATGGAGATTAGCATGTGGGGTTTAATTTATAAAACACTCTGTGGTTTGGGCCAGGCCTGGGAAAGTGATGGCTCTTTCCCAGGAAATGACCCTGGAGTCTCTTTTGGTGAAAATGATGGCATCTTGTAGGCTGTGGGGGAACACTTAACAGATGAGGAATGTATCGATCTTTTTAGAGTGGTCTCTTTGGTTGGGCCACTGAGAATTATGCTGGGCTGGATTGAATTTCAAGTCATTCCAAATACTGCAAATCTCTTTTTGCTGATGGTGGAGGTTGGGCTTTGTAGTGAGGTTAGCTATCCTGCTGGATTGGTTGCTGAAGTATTTTAATAAAATACTACTGATGTCCTTTTCATAATGTTGTATTGTTATTAGTTACTAAACCTTTGTCTAGATCATCTCTGTGTCTAAAAATCCTTCATGATCTTTTAATCCTTTCTAATATTTGCTCAAGTTATAATATTTTCACCTGAGTGTTTTAGCCCAGTTAAACTTATGCCCACAGATGCTAAACTGGTACATTTAACTCCAACTTTTTGAATTTAGACATGGAAAGCACTATGTGCCTCACTTTGATTGTGGTAATTTGTATTACCTCATTGTTTTGACAAAACCTTAAGAATGTGAGGCAGCTGTTTCCTGAATTGTTCATGGATCATGCTTGTGTTTGCCTTTATCATGCAATCATTGTATTATAAATATTTTTTGTTTCTTTTCTTCTCTAGATTTAAACTTTCTGACTCCAATCTCACTACCCAAAAGCCTCTTGGAATTGCTGCACTGTCCCTTGGGACACTGCCACCGCTGCAGCCAGCCTATGTTTACCATTGTCTACCCAAAGCTCTTTCCCTTGAGGGAAACTCCAATGGCAGGATTGCATCAAGGGTAATTATACAGGAAATTACTCTGGGGTTTCGTTTAGGAAGAAAAACACCTTATGGAACAAAGCATATTCTTAAGGATTTTTTTTTTTAAACTTAGCATTTCAGATCCAAAGTCCCTAGCCTGTGATTGCATGTCTATGTTGACAAATATTTTATTCATGAGTCAACCAAAATATTTCTGCTAGTCTGTTAAAAGGGTCTTCAGATATGCTTGTCTCAGCCTGGTGTAAGACAGGAAGGGGTTTGGATAGGATGGGATTGAGCTGTTTGTGGTAGTGCAGCACATGCCTGGCAGCTCTGTGCCCTGGGAAGGAAGTGGTGCTAACACCAGTAATTGCCCTCATGGTCTCAACCCTGACTTCAGATTGCCGCCACCAAACAAAAAGTGCTGCAGGATCAAGATGGAAAAAAGCTCTAAAGCTGGAGCTTAATTAAAATGTTCTGCAGTAAAATACTCTTGTTTTAATTTCCACACTAATTAACTTGAGATATGCTGTGGAAGCATTCTGCATAGGAACATACAGTTTGTAGCAATACATGTTTTTAATAATACTTCAGTTTTATGGTTGTAGCAGTTGTGAAAGTGTCTGCAGGATTCACAAGTCAAGTGCACACACCCACACAGACTTGCTGTCCTGCTGGACAGTACAGTCATAGAAAGGACTCAAAATGGGAATATGGTGCAGGGAATGTTGCTTTCATGTGGATAAAGATATAAAATATCTTTAAGGTGAGCCCTGATTGCTTTGCAGTGATTCTTTCCCTAATCCTTATTAGTCTGAGTGGATACTGTAGCCTTCCATGAGCCATAATATCAATGAATCCACTTTCTGCAATGGAAAAGCATCATCTAAGGAATATCAGCTTTGAAAAGTACTGTTTGAAAAGTAATAAAGGGGGTTTAAAGCTAAGTCACTTGGAGTTAAAAAAGCAAAGGTGATGTTAGATTCTTGTTAGAGAATTCAAGTCAAGCCATTAATTACAAAGCATATACCTAAAGGTGGTGGGCAGAAAAGAAAGGTGCTCTAAAAAGGAATGTTTTTGAGATTACTTGTTGGTGTCTGTATAATGCAGGAACACCACTTAGTTCCTGGCCTGAGGAAGTCCATTGATTTGATAGTTGATTTGATCTTCCATAAAAACAAGAAACTGCTTTTCCATAGGAAGATCTTCAGTAAAAGAGAAGAGACTAATGGGTGGTTCAGGTCGATGATACCTGTTTTGCACAGCTGTATCACAGCCTGTTTTGCTGTGAGTTTGTAACATGAGAAGCATCTGATTTGTAAGCAGTTCAGCTTTATGAAATGAAACAACTTAGGTATGCCAAATCTGGGCAGCAGCCAGAGGGCTGCATAAATGCTATTTTGGAAAAGCCATCTTTCTTAGAAAGATCTGATTGCAGAGATTGTACATTTCAATTTTCCACTCTTCACTTCAGTCACATGTCGAAATTCAGTAGATTTCATGTTGAGTGAAATAATTAACTTCCATATTACAGTCATAATACTCTTAGTCATGTTATAATCATGCTATAAAGAATCTCTTTCAAACATTCAACAGTATCATTTTCTAAGAAAATGATTGAAAACTACTGGCTAGTCACTAAATCCATCTATTACCCTGAATAATTCAACAGTGTGAGAGTTTGGACTACTTTGTAATTAATTGCTAAGCATTGCTCATTGTAGAAGTTACAGTTACAAGATGATAGACATTATCAGTAGGCACCTTTAGGAATTATTAAAATTAAGACTCCACAAAAACATACTTTAGAGCTGTTTTGGATGAACATTCTAAAATTAACATCCTAAAATATAATAATTAAAAATAGTATTTCTGCATGGTTTTCACTTGTTTCAAAAATAGTTATCATTCCTTCCCTTAGACAAGAATGTACTGTGTTCTGCAAAATGCCTTTAATGAATCCAATCTTAAGTAGCTGACATTTGATGCAAATCCACAGAAAATGAGATCTAAACAGGGCAGCCTGTCATCCTTATCTCTGTAGCTTGTGCACTTGACGTGGTAAGATTATGTGGAATTGTGGAGGTGTGATAGCTGGTTTAGAAAGATGTGAAGGACAGGGTTTCTGTTCTAAAGAGCTTAAAGTGACCATGAAAACACACAGGGTAGGGATCCTGGGTGTTTGAACAGCTCTGATTAGCACATGCCACATCCATGCCAGTAACTCCTGCCTGGATTCCGTACCACATTCTGTATCCTCTTAGAGGGAGGGAGAGTTACATGTTGGAGTGGATTTCTGTATCTGAAGAAGCACAGATGCCATGAGCACTGGGTAAAGTGTGATTTCTGGGTTAGTGAAAAACAGATCTGAACATTTTGAAGGCAGATATCTCAGTCCCTGCCAGGCTGGAGCAGGAGCAGGGTCACTGTGAGGCTCGGATCACACTTGCACAGTGCCATTCCTGCTGCACTGCGTGGCACGGTGTGACAGCACTGCCTGTCACTCATCCTTTCTGAAGATCTGCTTGTTCACTCTGCTAACCAGGGAGGACACTGGCCTTCAGTCATGTCATGCCTACAAGCAGTAATTTAAGAAACACACGAGCAGGGCCGAGGCTGCCCAGCTATTTTCCTGTCAGCTGCTAAACCTGCTGGCTGTGACACTCAGGCACACCCTGCTCAGAGAGAAAAACCACACACTGCTGCTCTAAAGCCAGTGCATAAGAAACCAGGAAGGTTTTGAGAAGCCCTGCAGTGTTTCCCTACCTTGGTGTCAGGCACTCAGAGACAGCAAATGAACCTGTGCTTTTTCTGGGCTGTGGAGATGGGCTAATCCCGTATTTTACAAACCAGCACGTTGTCTGTGTGGAATGGAGCCAGGAGCTTTAATCTTTACTGACAACTGTTCCCCCCCTTCCCTTTTGTTGTTTTTTTTTTTCTCCTAGGAGGACAACTGTTAGTTTTGTGGCATACTGCTGCTCCACCCAGTGTCTGCAGACTTTTGACCTACTGAGTTGATAAACATTTCAACCTCCTCAGGAGTGCTGCCAGTGTAAAGCTGCGTTCGATGCCGTGTCCCCGTGGTACTGGAATACCTTGTGTGCTTGTGCCAAAGCAGCAGAAGTGCCCAGTCAGGAACACTCTGAGGCACTTAAATCCTGCCCTATCAAATCTGGATGAACTGCAGGAACTTTTCAGAAGTGTAAATACTGAGCTTTTAAAAGTATTAATTTCTTTCTCCTCCAAGGCAGCACACAAACCAAACACATTCACAAGCTCTGACTTCAGGATTTCCAGTATTTTTCAAATGTGCCTGATTTCAGGTTGACCCATTGCATCATTTGAGGCAGTTGCATTCCTCTAACTGGAAAAAGAAAAGTTCAGTTATGGCAAACAAATTTTTCACTTATTCATCCCTGTCCTCTTCCCCTGTACAGCTGCAATCAGGTGTGCTGCTGTAAGCCTGCAGAAACCTTTGATGGATCCCAGTGACTTTTCCATAGAATTCAGCCTTACTTTCTCCCTCTCATCTTAATGTTTACTGCAGCAGAGTTATCCCAGTTGTATACCAAGTCTTTGACAGTTCTGTGTGGTATTTAAATCCACATGCTAAAAGCAGATCTTTCTTTCTAGTATCATTAAATACCACAGTTATTTAATGGGAGTAGCTAGGATATGTCTGGAGACTGAAGATCCTGTTTCAGTGAAGGCTGGTACTGATGCCTACACTAAGGGCTCTTGCTCCAGCATGTTTGAGGGTGTGTTGTCTTTATTTTCATTGCTTTATTTTTATAAATAGTTCTCCTTTTGTTCCACAGAATTCTTCAGGAAGAAGACAACTTTAAGTATCAATTTCCCTTGGAAAAAATCCAACTAGTAATATGATAGTAAACTTTATATTTATTGTATTTTTACAGTTGCAGGCTGTAGCTCTGCAAAGAGCTGGTCTTGATCTTTTTCTAGATTCAGCATTTGGCTGATTTGTCCAAGTGTGTCAGTGCATTGTGTGCCTTGGAGAAGGCTGGAAGTCCAGGAGCAGGTGTGTTTCTCCATGCACAGGTATATTTGCACACATGGCTACCTACATTGAAGGGCTGGGACTTTTGTTTTTATACATTAATGGCAGATTTGGTGCAAATTGCCACTCACTGTCATGTTTGTGGGAATCTTTTTTGTGACATCTTGTTTATTTTAAATAAAGAACAAAGGATGGAAAAAAGGCCCAAAATGCCTATGTGACTAAACATTTTGATTTTATACTAAAACAGTTTATGGATGATTAGCACCTTTTGATTTGTTTTTGAATATGTAATATTTTTTAATATAATTTGTTCTTTTTTTTTTTTTACTTTCTATTTCTTAGGTATAAACCACTTGTTGATTTAGCACAGTGTGCTGCTCTGTGCAGTAGGTAGTTACAAGCTGAAATAGATATGAATGAAACAGTTTGTTATAAAAATGGCAAGATAAAGAGACTTATTTGGTAGTGTATTAGCATATGTTGTGGTGAGGTGTGCGTACTTTGAAGGCAGGAGGCATTAAAATGTTTTCCTGTTGCCAAAGAAGCATTTGTTCCCTCTGCAGGCTTCCTGGCATCTCTTCAATAAATAGAGTATCTTAAGAGCTTAAAAGAGTACCAAAAAGGCAGTTTTGAGGGTGGAATTTTTAGGTTGTGCATGTAACTTGTAAAAATCTTTCCTGGTTTTATTGGGTTGGTTTTAGAGAGTTGAATTAGCATTAAGAAATGTAGAACTTAATCATTCAGGAATGCAAGTATCATCTACTGCTTAAGAATTGTGAAACTTTCTAAAATAAATCCCATTTATTAAATCTGCTTTGCAGTAGGGGAAAGAGCCATGTCCAAGCAGCCTTGGTGCTTTTGCATTTCTGTCTGTGTCATTTCCCAGGTTTGTTTCCATGTTGGAATCCCAGCAGTCCCAGCCACCCCACAGGGTTCACTGCTGAGGCAGCAAAATCCACCTTCAGCTTTATCCTTTTCCTTCAGTACCTCAGAACTGAGATGAAAATTGCCCATGTACAGTTATATCTGTATCAGAAATGTGCAAGTGTAGGACAGAATCCACTTTTTTAAAAAGAGATGATAAAAGCTATGGTAGTGTTACAGATGTTAATTTTTATACAATACTCTGATCAGGATTTTTCAGTATTAATTTTTACTGTGGCTTCCTCTGTCTCTGAAGGAGATGTTTTCTTGGAAGTTTTTGTCCTCTTTTTATAGCAAGTTGTAGACTTGAAATCACAGTTTATATCTGAATTCAGCCTGTAAATTACTATTTTGGAGTTAAATCTGGCTGTGATCACCTAAAAGACATCAGCATTTGTTTTATTAGGAGTCAAGACGAGTGAAGCTTGATTTTATTACTATACCTATTTATTTTTTTTCTTCTTCCTATAATTTAATTATTTCTTATTGAGTCTGCAGCAGTCTCTTTATTATTGTCTCCAAGTGCAGTTCAGAAGAAATTTAGCCTGTTCTATAAGCAGGATGAATCTTAACTAACACTTTAATAGATGATATTTCAAGAATGGAATGTTCAATAAATAAATGACTTAAACATGCAATTGAAGCTGAAATGTCATACCCTATTTTTATAAAACAAAGAAGGGGAAAGACAATATATAGACTGAGAATGCAGCTTAAATTCATGTTTGATGTTTTGGGGCTTTTTTTTTTTATATGAACAGTGTTTTTATTCATCTGTATCTTTGGGTGATATTCTTCTAGATTAAAATAACTCCATTCTCACTTGTCCAAATTTTTCTAAAGTTGTTCTGCTGTAAGAGTATTTCATAACCAGCAAGCATGAGAGCCAGCTATGCAAATTGCAGAGAGGGATTTTGTTGCTGATTGAACTGTGCATCACTGGTTTTTCAAGGTGCCACAGTGCTTGGACTTCTCTTTAGTTCGTTTGTTTCTGGGTAATTTTTGATTTCTTGCTCTGGTTTGTCAGGTTAGTTCCCACCTAGATAATTTCTTCTGTGTACTACAAAACCTCAGGTGCCAGATGTTGAAAAAAAGGACCATTTAAAAAGTTTTTTTGTTGTTAACAGTAGATCTTAATTCTTTGCTTAGAGTGGAAGCAGGAAAAGTTTTTGGATTTTTTTTCCTCAAGGCATTACAACAACAAAGGTGCAGGAGAGGAATGAGATAAATCTTTAAGCCATTGATACTGCTATAAAATTTTTCTAAGTAAAGATTAACTCCAATTATTATTAGAGATCACAGGCATAACTTTTGTCTAAGTTGTGATAATAGGCACCATATTAATAAAATTGGAACCCTATATAGAGGTAGCTTTTTGTTCTGCCATGAAGGAAATGGAGGAATCTCTGGCTTTGTTTAAAAATCCTTTTGAGTGCTTGTGCCATGAACAGCGTTGCATTCAGAGCACTGTTCCTGGGAACCTTCCTCATCATCTCTCAGAGGATCAGAAATGCCCTTTCCTGCACAAAGAGCAAGGTCTAATACAAAGAATTGTGTATTTTTCTGTTTTGATGCTTCTGCTGGGCTCTTACCACGGTTCATTACAAACCTTCTATTTACTTGGTTGTGGTGAGGTTGAGATGTTGCTCTGAGCAGAGCGCTGCTGTTTATTGCCAAGTTGGCTTCAATTCCTGCAGATTGAATTCTGCTGAATCCCTTCTTCTGGCATTGAAGGGAGCACAGGACTGTTCTAACACCCGTGTGGGAGCAGCGTGTCAGGTTCTACTGACATCACAGCCCAGCTGAAGACTGGAGAGTGACAAACCTGTCACTACAGAGGACAACTGGCTTTTGAAGGCCACTTTGGCCCACCACAGTACCACTGATAACAGAAGAACTTCTGCCCTGATGTCAGTGGACAATGGGTCAAGTTCTAATTGATGAGAGGGAGGAATGTGTGTTGCCATCTTTGTATTTCTTGCAAAAACTGGGATGACACCAGAATCCATGGCTGCTGCTCTGTCTGCAGCTGCACTTCCATAATTCCAAGATGTAACTATCTTTGCCTCTTGCCTCCCTCTTAATACTACTCGTGTTGTTGCAAAATGTTATAGTTAACTTGTGATGGAAGAGGCTGAATAAATTGAATCCAGAGTTTTTATTACTTTTTTGTATTACAGACCTATTTTGTAGGAGACTGAAGGTCTGGTGGAAAGAAATGGCAATGTTCATGTGAAGCCTTCATTGCTTTTGCTTTTATGTGCCCTTTTTTGGATTATAACTTGAACTCTGTTTGCAACTGAGTTCATTCTGTGTCTGTGGAAAGCACATGTGCATTGCTTTCTTGCTCTGTACTAACCAAATGTCACTTAGTGTGAAGGTGAGCTTGCTAGATGGTTTATTTAAAGTTAGTGGTGCAAATTATTGTATGTGCTTGTTAATAAACTATATTTTTGGATAGAATTACCATTCATTAAAATTAACTAAATTCTTGCTCCTGGGACTATTAAGCTATGTTAGAATGTAGCATTTAATTTACATTTCAGTTCATTTGCATGGTAATTAGCTAATAAGTCTCTTGTCCCAAGGCTGAAGAGGTGGGGTGAAGACACTAAAAGCACTCCCAAGCCCAAAACACCACTTCAATTCATTTGATCCCTTTGTCTCAGACAATGTAGTTCATCAGATCTTGCATAATAGGAACAAAACCCATATGGAAACGTTACTTCAGACCCTTCCACGGATTGATCAAAAGGAAAATAAGTTTCTGTAGGGCTGTACTGCCACCCTGATAGTCCAGAGATGAGGCTGTGGTTCATGGATTCCTTACTAAGCAACATTCAGCAGCTTTTTTTCCTCATTTAACAGATATCATGGGAACAAGGCTGCCAAAAATAAGTAGAAATTAAGCATCTGTTTTTCCAGTTGTTTCACTCCTTGCTATGCAGCATTTTGCTTCAGTCAAAGCTGCTGCTCTCCATGTTGTGCTGAGTTCTTTGAGCTGGATGCTGTCTGGATTTCTGTGAGTGTGTTGGGTGAATTACTCAGTATCCAGTGAGACCTGTGGTGGCCAAGTGACTCAGATCAGTTGTAAACCTTGCAGGTTTAGGTGCTGTCCAGACTTCCCTGAAGCCTGTTTGGTAGTTAGTTTACAATTATTTGCCTTTTTTGTATTTTACAAGTGACAAGGTAACTTTTCCTGCCCTTGCAGTGGAGGTAACCTCTGTTTGCCTGGCAGCAGGAGGAGGATGTCAGTCCCTTAATAAATGGGAGAACAACCCTTAACCTATAACTTTTACCAGCCACTGATGTGTCCCTTATGAATTAGAAAAAAAGAAATGGGAGAGCTTAACATCCTTTTCCTTTGCAATTAAAAGTACTTGGCATAAATGCAAGCTAAGTGGAAACTTCAGTGACTGAATAATGCTATTGTATGCAGGAAATGAGAGGAGCTGAGATCTCACTTGGAAAGGCACTGGATGTTTTGTGACTTCTAAGCCAAGATTTAGGGCTGTTCTGTGTGGTGACATTTTGAAAACTTGAATGCCAGGTTGAACCCACTGCATCTGGGTCCCCCAACTTCAGCAACAATTTAATGTTACAGCAGAACCCTCTCTATCCTGCACTGAAGAACCCCACCAGTATTCCCTCTGGCTGGCTCAGGACTATCAGATTCCTGTCTGCTGCTTCAGCACGAAAGAAAGCAGGAGTTGACCATATGCTTTTTTTACTTTTCACGTTTTAAATAATAAACCCCTCATGTCAGGCTCTTTCAGCACCCATTGTGATCTTCAGACACCTCCTGCTCCCAGGCAAAGACCTTGACACATCTGTGAGAGATCTCCAGTCTCAAGAAAGCAGTTCTGTTGCTGGAGGTGCTGAAGTGATCTGACTTTCTGATGATGCCTTCCAAGTGGCAATCAAAGGCTAATTTCTCAAGTACCCTGATGCTCTTTTGTATGTTCATGAGGAATGTAAATATTGACTGGCTCTTTCTGCCAGAGAAAGCTGCCACTCGTGGAGCCCTGTCCTGGTGCTAAATATGACTACGGCCACGTGATGAGGACTGGCCATGAAATCACAGAGTATGCTGAGCTGGGAGGGACCCATCAGGATCATCCACATCCTGGCACTGCCACAGGACACCCCAGGGTGTTCTGCTGTCATTTGCTGTGCACCTCACAGTTATTAGGAGGGTTATTTTTTTTCTCAACATCAGTTAAGAAAGCTTTCTTGTAATGAAAAATGCAGTACTGTGTTTGTTTATTGATCAGCACTATGAATGTTCTCTTAAGTGCACTATTATAACAGCAAATCAAGCTATTTGATTAAGAAAGCAAAAAAAAAAGCATTGTTAAATCCCATTTTGGTGCACATAGGGTCCACTGGGAATACTAACATTTTGTTTAGGAATGAGAAAGAGAGCTCATAATTCATCATAAGATACAAGTATGGTCTAAAGGTGCTGACGACATTGCCCAGATCTCATAAAGAAATAAATTTAAGAAGATAACCAGTGTTTCTTCTGGGGGTAAATATTAACTAATTGTATCAAATATGCCCTGTTTTGGTTTTGTTGTGGTTTGATCTCCTAAAATTCTGCACTTGTAGCTATTATTTCAATCTTACTAGGTTTCCTTTATACTACAGAGTTCTAACCATTGATTTTTATTGTTAAAGCCATTAGGAGAATCAAGCTGAATGTTGTTGGGTCAGTTTGTGATAACTGTGATTGCTTTGCTGGCACTGAAGTTCCAGAGCAGTCTGAGCATGGACTTGAATTTGGCCGCCTTTGATTTTGCTGTGTCTCTGTTGGCTCTCCAGTTTCATTTTGCAAAAAGCTGAATCAATGGAGATGATACATGAAGAGAAGAATTACCAAGAAAAACAGCTTTAACTTTCTTCAGAAAGCCTGGCTTGGAATAGGGCTGGCAAGGTCTCCTATATGAATTCCAGGTAAATGCTCCTTTTAAAGTAGGATGAAAAACAGTGGGTTGCAGGCAGTAGAGAACCCCATATCTAAAAGTACCAAGATTAATTATTCTCTATATTCACACCTGACTGTTCTATATCTTTGTTTCTATGAAAACGGAGTAACTGCCCAACAGGGAGTTTAGTTGTGTCTTACATCTTTGTAGAATTAAGATTGATTTTATACTTCTGACATGCTCATTACTCTTCACAGTGTAATGCCTCTTCTGTTTCTCTGCCTGTATAGTTGTAAATAATAGCCCTTGTTTCCTCCCTCTGTCCTCACTCCTGACCAGAAAATGTTGTTCTGCTTTCTGGTTGGAAAACAGACCCTGTTATGACCAATATTAAAGCAGTTTGTTACCTGCACAGTGACACAGGTTTGTGCTCCACCAGAGACACCACCTAATCACATTTCTGCACAATTACCTGCATCACAAATACATGTTCTGTTCTGGCCGCAGTTGAACTGAGGGATATCTACCTTAAATTAATTAATTAATGTATATTAAATCAGTGCTTTGTATCAGGTTTTTAGATCTGGCAGTATCTAATCCTGGCTCTTAAAACTTCCATTATGAAATGTGGGGGCTCGAATTTCTCCAGTAGCTCGGTCTAGACTGTAGCCAAACTTCTGTCTGATCCCTATAAAGACACTTTGGAGAAGGTTCGAATTGAAAACCTCTATTTAATTATCTCCTTTTTCCCTCCTCCCTCCAGGAGGCTCAGATGGTGCAGGAACTGATACCTGCTAGCTAGAAATGTCTTTCCAGGTCAGTGTTGTGCCAGCTGTCCTCCCCGCCGCGCCGGTGTCACGCTGGCTGCCGGCCCTGCCCAGCTCCTGCTCGCTGGCCCCGAGCTGCCAAGATGAAAAATATTGATTCCAGTCCATCTCATTGAAGTATTATCATGAGGTGTTCACAGACATGCTGGGACTGGTCTTTTACTTACAGGAACATTTATCCAGGGGGATCTGGTGTGTTATGTAGCAAGAAACTGCAAGAGGCAGAATGAATTTACTGTTTTCACTTACAGTCAGTAGCCTGAGACCTTACTGTGGCTTTAGCTATTCTTGATTAATTTCATATGTGGATGCTCCTATTCCAGAATAAAAGTGCCTTGTTATGAAAGAATTTAATTCCTTTAATTTCATTTGGGAATAAATATATCCACACACCTGGTATTTAAATCTGA